CGCATCTTCATAAGCAATGCTGTATGTTTTCCAGAGGCATATAATAAGCTTATTATATAATCAACAGTAAAGTTTGTAGATTTTAATCTGCATTACAAAACATACCTCAAAGTCAATAATGTGTTGATTAGCACCGCAGTTTGGCAGCACCATAGTGCTCGCGGATCGTATGAAATCACCCAATTCATTTCGGTCCTGCAACAAAAAATGTATAATTTGTATTTTTTTATGTATTGAAATAAGTCAAAAACTACTGAGCCGATTTCAAAAACGATTTCACCATTAAAAAGCTACGTTATCAGTAAATAACATAGGACATATATTTATTATTTTTTAATTTCACACAGGCGAATTCGCGAGCAACAGCTAGAATTTTTATAAAAAGGTAGAAATGTAAAATTACCTTCAGTTTAGCGTCACCCGCGAAGGACCACAACAGCGAGTAGACCAGCCACTTAGGCACGTAGGCTTCTAGTTGATCGTTTGTAACAGGGAAGTCCGGGTGCTGTCTGTTGTATGCGAGGATGTTGCGAACGCCGCGGTTTAGCATCGAGTGTAAGGAGGAGAGCGCGCGGTGGCGAGTGAAGTCCATTATATGGTCGAGAGATGCGGCGCGCTCGAGGCACTTCACCACGAGGCCGTCGCCGTAGAACAACGGTTGTAGGATCGCGGCTACGTCGCGTTGAGTCTGGAAATTAGATTAAAATGTATGCTGTGATAAATACTATTTTATTTGGAATAGTAAATTATAGTTAATTGCAGGTTATAATATGAAAATTGTAAAGTTATTTAACGAAAACTGTATACATTATGCAAATAATTTTAGCAGGCAACAATAAAATTTGAATTTAATATATACAATGCCTATTTATGTGGTATCACTACAGGCTCCACTCTGCCTATATTTGCCAGTACATGGCAAGTGTATGAATGAAAAATAATCTCAAGTTGTAATTACCTGTAAGCCGGGCGATAGTATATTTTCCGTGGCATTTTGATCGCCTCCAGCGGTCGGAGCTGCCATTACGATACTGAATGAGTCTTCTTCACCATCCTCCAATGGAATATTCCTCAACCTAGAAACATTACACATATATAATATTATATATATATATATATATATATATACAAAGAACTAGAATTAGCAATTATTTACAACTTTAGGGCCTGTCCCACAATTCTTATAAATGGTCAGATAAATCGGATTTTGGTACTCTATCAACTTAATCACTTTTAAGCTATCTGAGCCTCTATCAGCCAGTGGTGTGACAGGTCTTCAAAGTTTTAGTATACATACCTCAACAAATAATTCTCGAATATCATCTCAGTGGTGAGTACGTCTTGTGAGAACCAAACCATACCGCAACGCGACACTGTAGCGAGCGTCGCGTATTTAAGATCTTGCACCTGAAGGAATAAATTATTAACTTATATAAAACATTTTCAACGAGATCAATGAGATTTTTATAGCTAAATCATGATTAAATTTAAAATCAGTCCAGAAGTCCGAAAAAGTATTACAATATCTATTTATTTTATGTAAGTTGGTAAAACTATGCAATGTTTTTTTTCTTATTTATTTAGGGCGTAATTAGGGCACCAATTTGTAAACTGTCTGATAAAAACCCAACATATAAAATATCAGATTGTGTTATCTGATAGTGAAGTCATTTTAAGCTATCTGAGCCTCTATCAGCCAGTGGTGGGAAAGGCCCTTATTCTTGTATCCATACCTCGAACATGACGCGCACGTTGGGCGGCAGGGACAGCCGCTCTCCGTTGGGCAACGTCAGCAGCTTGTTGTCATCCAGCACCGAGTTGAGGTTCTCCACCCACTCGGGGTCCACGTCGCCGTCGAATATTATCCATTGACGCTTGTTGATCTCACCACGAACGTTGTCGATTATCTTCCTGTTATGAACAAAAGTTAAAATTAATCGTAGTAATATTATAAATATAAATGCGGAAGTTTAGATGGATGTTTGTTAGAGTTTGTAGCCTGAACAATGAAATTGAGTATAGAAATAGACGATAATCTGGAAGAACAATCTATTCACTTTTGTATTTTTTAATTCCACGCGGACGGAGTCGCGTGCAAACACTAGCAAATGAAATAAAAATATTGTCTACTCTTATTTTCTTATTTTGAGATTTTATGCTTCTCCACTTTTATTAATATTTTATCTTTTAGTAAACTTACCTTAAGATATGTGTGAACAATCCGTCAGTCCATTCACGAGTATTAGGGTCGAGAACACCATAGAGGGTTTCCTTTGACATTGCCTTCGGATCAATCACGTGAGCCACGCCTTCGACACCTTCAAATCTAAAAATTATTTATTTATTTAATTATTTATGCATAAATATTACAATAAGTATACTAAAACTAAGCTACTATAAGCTAATAATACTGTGTATAATATAGAGTCGGAAGCAAAATATGAATCGTTCGTGTATTGAGTGTCTATTACTTGGCGATATAAAACAAATATGGGTAATATTTACCTTTCCAATGCCTTCAGTAGTACACGCCAGGCCGTGGACTTCCCGCTGCCAGATGGACCAACCATCATCAAACCATGGTTCAGTTTACAGATCTGGTACAATTGCAACACCTGTTGCAGAAAAAATAATATTAATATCTTTACAAATTCAAAAAAGTGCTAAACGGGAGAGAATATGTGAAAGAGTTTTCCAAGCGAAATGGAAAGAAAAACACATAGAAGCTTATTCAATAGTTCTAAATGAAAAAATACCACAGATTATAACATAGTGAGCGCAGAAAAACATAAAAATGTGCTGATAAAATTAAAAAGTAATAGAGATTCTTAAAACAAAAATCCAATTTAAAGATATTTCTTTGATTGACAATGTTTTCCACTACTAAAATACATGTACGGAAATACTCTTAAATAAAATAATACATATGTGAAATAAATGTAAGCAAAAAATCAATAAGCAATAAATATTTCTGTTTAAATTTTATGTAGTTTTTATTAGTAGGTTAGTTTATTAAATCGGTATTAAATATAATTATACGTTAAAAATACCTTGATTTCTTAAACGAAGACTAGATATATGACAAGAAACTAAATCTTTTGTAGTCATCTTTTTGACCGACTTCCCAAAAGAAGGAGGTACTCAATTCGTCTATATTTTTTTTATGTGTGTTACGGCATAACTCCGCCGCTAGTGGACCGATTTTGATAATTCTTTTTTTATCCGAAAGGGTCCCATTTTTTTATTGATATTATTATATTTATTTTATTAAATATATTTATTTGTATTATGAATGAAGTCCAAGCAAAATTAAAAATGTGAACTGTGACAATGGTGGCGTAGTATTGTGTGTAATAAATTATTAAATAAAATAGAATACAACTGCACAATAATGATTTGCAAAGCGAAGACAACTTTGTGATATAAAATAGTGACTGCAGATTAAACAACAAAGAGTGTAGGAAAACAAAAACTTGAACAAGCACCCGTAGATAGTCTGCAACTGGGCTAGTCGCTAAAATAGAGTTATTTCATCATAATTCTTCTGCCTGGCATATAATTCAATGTTTCCATAGAAAAAATATCACTTGAAATTAAACCAAAAAATTGAATCAATCCTGAAATGAAGTAGAAACGCATACACACACAAACACACGACAGAAAAAGATAGCGAGAAAAAAACAAAGCTGAAAGAGGGAGAAAAAAGGACAGAGAGTGAGAAATTCCATGTCCCATTTATATCCAGCTTTTATCACAAAAGTGATAATGAAGAAACTTCATGTACGGATGTTTTTTTTTCCATGGCAACACAATGTCCTCGTTTAGTGTGGGCGGTGGGCGATGGGCGGAGTGCGGACACTGACCTTCTCTATCCACGTGCTGTGCTGCGCGCGCGACGACGCGGTCCTCCTCTAGTGCCGTTAGCGGGTTAGCATGGAAACGCATTCACACTCGTACACGATATCATGTTAACCGTGCCTCAACAAACTATACATTTATGTATACAAAACTGAATCTTTCAACTATTCAGTACATTTATATGTTAAAAATCGTTTCGTATACAATAAAGTACAGTTTCGCGCGATGATAAGCGAAAATATATTATAAAAATTAGTTATCGTTAATGAGTTATTATACGTAAAATATTAATAAATATGGCTTATCACCATCACCTTGTATTATGATAAAAATGACGTATGACAACTTAGTGTGCCTTTAATGGTAATCATGTAGCAAAACAAGACCATATGTGAAAAGGCGATGTCTGATGAAACGATTTCTTCCTTTAATTAAGACAAATTGAGTTAAACCTTAAACCTCATTATCACCATTTTGTTAATAAACATTTTAATATCTGATAAGAACATACCTTGTCCATCCAAGTCGATCCTTGTTCATCACCTTCACCGCAAACCAAGAACTCTTCAGCGCAAACCGCGCGAATTTCGTTCTTCAAACCTATTTTACAAAAAAAATGTATTAAAAATACTTCCGTTTCCTTATCTTACTATTATTATGAAAGTTTACAAGGATGGATAGATAGATAGATGTTAGATGGATCGCATCTTGATGAAATTTGGCATAGATTTAAAGAATAGTCTGGAAGAACACATAGGCTTCTCACTTTTGTTTTTATTAATTCCACGCGAACAGAGTCGCAGGCGTAAGCTAAACGGAAATAAAAAAGCAAAGCAAATATACGATAACATCGAGGTTTCGTTTTATAGCACGAGTGCCAAACAAATTTCATTAAAAAAAAATAACATAAGCGAATATAATTCCTCACCAGTCATTTCGGCTCTGGTATATCCAACATTGGGGAATACATCATTTAACAATGAGAACAGCAAGGGAATGTCTTCAGCGACCAGCTTGGGCACCATCGTCTCGCACACCGACTGTATCAGGATGTCTTGCTCCGGCAGGGACTCGGCAATGGACGCCTCGTCCGGCACTTCAGTACCGCGATCTACTAGATTCTCCTATAAACATAACAAAACACGTTTTTTATTTATTTATATAGTAGAACCTCGATAACTCAAACCTCGGTAACTTAAAAACCTCTATAACTTCAAAAAATAATATGTTCCCTTACCATCAGAGCCCAAAACCTCTATAACATAAACCCTTGATAACTTAAAACCTCTATAACTTAAAGTATGTATTTTTTGTGTCCCTTGAACTTTAACTTATCCAGGTTCTATTGTATGATATGTATAAAACACAATATTACAGTTCGCATATAATTTTACAAATACATTTCGTTTTTTTTTCTTTCACTTTAAATGACTATAAGTCTGCATTTTGTTTAATTATATATCCTTGACTTCTTTATTAGGTTGATTCACAATTTTGATTGCAATGAATTGCTAAGTTAGCTGATAAATGTATGGGAGCACATACTGTGCCTACGCTTCCAAGGGAAAACGACAAGCTGATGATGCTATAAAATGCAAAGTTATAGGATTTAGCTTTTTTTTATTTTGATTTTTCTCAATCTTGAACATTTTTTCTAAACGGTTTTAATAAGTATACAATAAACATATAATACAAACTGCCTATAATATTGTTGTTGATCAAATATTTTTAAAATATAACGAGATATTTTAAATTACATAGTTAAGAAGTTACCTTAATCTTCTGTATGCGGTCACGTTTGACGTTGCCGGCCGACACCAGCACTGACTTCAAGGCACGCAAACCGAAGTCATAATGAGATTGATTTGACAGCTGCTCGTCACACAATCTACAAGTCAATTGTGAAGATGATTGTAAGATGGTGGAATTTAAACATTTTGAAAGCGATTTGTATTATAAAGCGGAATTATGTGTATTTTTGTATGTATTGTAAATAAATAAAAACTACTGGGTCGATTTCAAAATACATTCACCATTAAAAAGCTACGTAATCAATGAGTAACCTATGCTTTTTATTATTATATTTTTTTTATTTTACGGGTGCGAAGTCGCAAGTAACAGCAAAACATATGGGAATGTCTGCTATCGACTGTCCATACTCACTTAAAGAATGGTACAATTTTCATAGCTAGTTTCTCAGCAGTCCTGAAGCCTTGGCTGAACAGCATCACCTCTGCGATGAGCTGTCTATCAGGCGTGGTCATGGCGAGGCTGCGGAACAGCTTCTTGAGGTTGTCAGGCAGGTTGGAGCGGCCAGCATACCCGGGGTTCATCGTTATGAATATCGCCATGTCTTGACTTACTCGTACTTGTTTACCCACCAGTTCTACAGTTATCGATTTAGCTGGAAGACAATTTAATTCGTTAATTTAGAATCAATTTAAGTATTTTTATATTCACAAACATAATGCTAGTAGACTCACTCAGTGAATTTTAGAGACTAATGTGAAAAATAACTAAAAGAGCATGTAATAAATCCATGTAGCATTTTAATATTTTTCATACCGGTGTTGTCACCTTCTTGATGGCTCTTCAATGCTTCCTGAATGGTCTGCACTTGTTGAGACACGGCCGACAACATTCTCTCCTCTAGACGATTGAACTCGTCGAAGCAACCCCAAGCACCAACCTTACAATAAACCACAAAAATTAAACATTTAAAGGAAAAAACACAATAATTAAATACAATAAATAAAAAAGTGTCGTAGTTACCTGGCAAAGACCGACAAAGATTCTTCCCATAGCTTGGAAGTCGAATGTCTCATCGCAGTTGAACACTAACACGAAGCGGCCGAGCTGGTTGCCGAGCGCCTTCACTGACTCCGTCTTACCGGTACCAGCCGGTCCTAAAACACACATACTTATTAGTAAAATAATTGTTAAAAATGTATTAGCCTTGCAGCTTATAGTTACATATGTACTTTTAATTTATTTTTTTCATGTAATGTCAAACGCATTCTCGTTAGTAGGTTTTACCTGACCCAGTCTAGCGGCTGAATCGTTATTACGATCACGTCAAGCTAAGTCAAATTGCGTAATTGTAAAGAACACTAGGGGCCTGTCCCACCATTGGCTGATAGAGGTTCAGATAGCTTAAAAATGACGTCGCTGTCAGATAAGGGAACAAAATGCGATATTTCGATCACATATTTTACCTGTTGGATTGTTATCAGACAATTTATAATTTGGTGGGACAGATCCTTAATCGCAGACAAAACTAGTGACTAACAAAAAAAATTCTAATTTCTTACAATTAATTTCCGCTACACATTTTTTGTCAGACTCAAATACCAACTATTGTAGTTTTACTTTACTGTAATATAAATAAAAAAAATATAAAAACTTTTACATTCTTATTTTTCTACAGTACTGATCCATTTGCTTAATTAAGTCTATGACATATTTACCGAAGGGCGACCCTCCGAGGCGCGCCTCCAGCGCCTGCGTCATGGTGAGGTAGCAGCGGTCGGTGAGCGGCGTCTGCACCAGCCGGTCCTGCACGCCCAGGTACTCGAACCCGTACAGGAACTTCGCGTTCGCCATGTGGATAGTCAGCTGCTGTAGCACCTGCACACAAACATAACGATATCATATTGAATATACACAACGATATCATCATATGAAAATAATCATTTAGATTTTCAAGCAGGAAAATGTTAAACTATTATGATCTGGTAGGTGATCCGCAAGGAAAAGAACTAGTTGATCGTGAGAAATAAAGTATTTGTAGAAGTATTTAGATTTACAATAAACTATATAATTATCACTGCTAATTGATTTTTACTGCTGTTTTCAGTGCCCACGATACAGGCATTGCCTAGTATGGGCATCACCAGATTAAACGTATATTAACCACAAATTGTAATTAACTTTTAGTTGGTACAACTGTTATTGTAATTGTTAATCTCTTGTTTTTCAATAAAATAATTTCTATTTCTATCATATTACTATAATTAGAGTAATAATAAAATTTTTAGTGTCAACTTACATCATTGTTCCTGTGGTCGAAGTAGAACCTCATCTCGCAGAGCCATTCGAAGGAGCGCGCGCTGGTGACGTTAGCCGCGATCAGCCGCCGCGTCACCGTGCGCTTGTGCACGAACTCGTTGATCTAGTACAACCACAAAAGTTTAAATTTCAAGAAACAATGAGCGCGGCAATCAATTCGATGTTTTAAAAGTCACCAGAATATCTTGGTGGCTAAAGGTCATCTGAGGTCTGCCATCATTTTACGTCTCGTTGCTCTTAAAATAGTGTTCTGCGCAGCGAGTCATGCAATACTCCGAGCCGTCAAGATATATGAGAATCTCTATAAATGAAGTGTGTTTTTCTACATGTGTTACTCACCAGATGTTCCAACTTCCTCCTCCTGAGCGGCGGCTGTTCCTGCAGCACGGAGTCTGCGAGGATGTTGAGCATATTCTCGACGTGGGTGAGCACCTGCTTGAGGCCGTCACCACCGCCGTTGGCCAACGCGTTCTCCACGTCCTCTGACCACAGGATCTGAGCGGCTAGCACTACTATCTGAGCCTAGGAGGACGAGGTTTTACTGTTATTTGCTTGTGACATCTCACAAGAAACTTTTTTTGTATTTGATGGAATTAAAAGAATTATAAATTATCAACTTTCTAAAGGTGAAAAAATGAGGAAATTAAAATCCGAAGTAATGGAATTTTACTTTGTTCGATTTAGATGCTTCAAATGGAACCAAAACTTATGTTACTTACCTGATACTTATCACACCATTCAATAAACTTGTGCGGGTCAACGTTGCCGTCTTTAAACTGTTTGATATCGGAGACGGCGTCTTTGAGACGGCAGGCCAGCGTGACGCGCATCTCGCGCTCCACCAGCGACAGCCACGAGTTTATCTTTGGGTTCTCGATCGTCGACACCGGCGATGTGAAGTATACCTGGTGAACACACATTTTGATTATCATAATACACGATCAATGACTATTGAAATTAACTCAAAAGATGAATCATATTCACTCAAAATCGGTTTAATATCTTAGCACATATATAGATAGGCCCAAAAAACAAAATCTTACAACAATAATCAATATGCGAAAAAGTATTTTAAGTTTTATTAAATTTTATTAGAAAAGGCATTTTAAAGAAAAAGGCTATCATCTTCAGTTAACATTCTAGAAGAATTCAGACAAATCGCGAAGGAATTATCTATTTCTCTGTAATATCGACGTGACAACATACCTCTTCGCCTTCACGGGAAGCGATACCGTTTATAATGGTGTTGTCATCATTGAGTATGATGGCGGCGACGCCGGCGAACATCTTCTTGAAATGCTTCTGCAGCCGGGCGATGTTCTTACTGTTGCCGATGATCTCCAGCAGGTCCTCGTCACCCACGAAGTAGAAACTACACATAAATAACAATATTAAAAACAGTATTCCCTTTATTTGTATTAAATAACAAATAACAAACATTTTAGTCGTTTTGAAAACATATACTTTTATGTGGCGTCATAAAGTGAAAGTTTAAGTAAATACGGACAGTTGTACAGTCAACATATAGTTCAATTTCGGAACAACGCCAAAGTTTAAAATTTTAACAAAATATCAACTCCGTGCGATGTCGCGGGTAAGTTCTAGCCTAGTATATGGTGTTACCGCGGGAAGCTGCTCCTCTCGCGCTCGAGGTACTCTCCGAGCGCCTTCTGTATCTTGCCGAGCAGGTCCGCCAGCCGCTCCAGCGACCGCTGCACGCCGGGGATGTTCAGCACGTCCATCACCATCGGGGACTTGCTCACCTTCTTCATCAGCCCCAGGAACTCGGAACTGGAATACATCGATTGTCATTCATGAATAACGATTTTCTACAACTTCGAGCAAATACCATTATGTTCATTTTTTGAAAACGAAAGATCAGAAAAAAACAGAAACCCCCGTTTCTTGCCCTCAATAGCTTATAAGGCCAGGAAATTAAAATAGATGGAATATAAATTCTTAAAAAGCGGAAATAGCAGTGCGAAAATAAAAGTTCAACTTAATTATATCGTCTTTTGCACGTAATGACCTGATACTCTGGAAGCGGCTGGTCTCGACAGGCAGCAAAGTCTTGATATCAGCAGAGCCGCTGAAGATGCCCTCGAGGTAGACCCAGCGGCGCTGCACGTCTATCCATACGTCGAATAACGCATTTATGCGATTCAGTTTCTCTTCCCACGTCAGAGCCTCCTCTTCAAACACCTGAGTACAAACACATAAACATAAAAATTGAATATAACAAGAGATTGACAACTTCCTACTAATGATTCAGCAGCAAGACCCCGTGAAAAGTTTATTGTGATACCTACAAAATTTAAGACTGAACTATAAATTGAATCAATCTAGTTCATAAAACAGTTTATGAGATTCAGTAAATTATGATTTTTACCTTATAGTAGGGCGATAGCTTCATGGCAGCAACGCTGTTGATATGCTCCTTCACCTTGTTGAAGAGGTCGTCCCAGCCGCGGATGATCTTGCATTTATTCTGATAGTTGATCAAGTCCAGCTCGTAGCTCTGCCACGACTCGCGCACCTAAATCATACAAAGATATGACAATTAAATATTCCCTTTATACTTTAAACTGTAAGCTACATTATTAGTAATTTTTAATCGACTTCAAAAAAGGAGTATTTTTATGTATGTACATCTATTATGCTGCGATATATGGTCCGATTTACATGATTCTTATCTTGTTTGATGCGGAATAGCGGCCATTTGATCACACTTTTTAAAAATGGAAACTATCCAGTCTTAATTACTGAGTTTCCCTTAAAAAAAATATACCCAAAGTCGGAAAACTTTGTCTTGAAGTAAGTTTTTGTTAAAGATTTTCATTCAGACATGTCGTTGGATCATAAAATGATAGTAAATTAGTATAGAGAAATTTTACGAAATTTAAAAATCAAATCGCTCAGTAACATCATTTAACGTTAGCACTTTACGTACCTGTTTCAAGAACTCCTCCAGCGCCATCTCTCCCTGAGCGACGGAGACGACATCTTTGACTGTGTGCTCGTTGTGCAGCAAGTCCGCGTCCCACACCTGGCCCAGCGTCAGCTCCGACAGCGCCCACTCCACGCGCAGCGCTCGGCACAGCTGCCGCCAGTGGCGCTCCTTCAGCGCGTCAGACTTCAGCTCCACTATCAACATGTTCACCTGCAACAATACAATTAATAGTGTTAAGAAAATCGGAACTGCGCTGGATTAGCGCAACACTAGATCATTGGTATACACGTCACATCCCTATGACATCTGTCAATGTCATTGCGACTTATCATATGGCGAGTCATTCTGACGGGAGTAAATCCATTAAAACATCTCTTTCAATAAAATTAAGAAAAATAACTATCGCACACATTTATCCTTTTATCAGTTCAATATGCTGAGTGGCTTGGAGTCTACCAAGTCATAACATAACTCCTAGGTGACGACCTTCTACCACACTAGCCTAGTGCGAATTAATCTCTTGCTTAGTGTAGATACTGTTGTATAGTGATGGTATGGTGACGGTGTTGATAGTTAATAGGTTAAGTTCGCATCTAACATCTATGTTACATTGACTCCATCCTACTGATGTCTCATACTAAATATACACCAACATACTCTTAAGTGTGGCATTTACAATCTTAATAAAATAGTGCGTCGGGAGATCTTTTTACATGTTACGAAATAAAACAAACCTTGGTGTACGATTGCAGCAGTTTGCGGACATATTCATAGCTGTCATACATGCGGAGTCGCGCCGGCAGCTCTTTGAGCTCGTTCAACATGGCTTCCAGTTGTTGCCTGAAATAAATAATTTAAATTATTATAATACTGAAATCCCACGGAAAAAAAGGTCTTTAATAAAATAATTTTGTAAATCAAATAAAGACTTTTAATACAACATAATAAGGGCTATCAAATACTTTGTTGGCTCGGAGATGATTTTGAAGCCATCAAAAGATTGACATTCTTTACCTTAGCTTCCTTGGTTGTATGGAGAGCCAGGGTTTCTCCCTGATGTCGTCAATCTGCGTCCAGATCTTACTGAGCGAGGACCACACGCCGCGCAGGTCCTGCAGCTCCTCCATCACCACAGTCATGCGTTCGTTGTTCACTGAACTGCCTGTTTTATATACAGTCAAAATAATTAAGTTAACGCTTTTAAAACATAAATATGCATAAAACGAAGATAAGCGAACTTAATAGCTATTCTATGCTCGCTAAGAGATCTCCCTGCCCTCAACGTAGAGTTCGTAAAATCCATACTTACTGACTACTTAATAACTATTTAGAAAATGTTATGAGAAAAGTTTTAAAAATATTTAAATTACCCGTATCATGTAGCTCGAGAGCCTCCTTGGCTTTAGCGACATTATCCCGTTCATCCTTGAGCTTGGTGTAGCGAGTCTCCATGAGCTGCAGACGAGCGAGCGCGTCCTCGGGCCGCGTGGAGCCGTCAGTCGGCTTATTGCGTTCCCATTCGCCAAGAAACTCCATCGTGCGACTTTCCACCGCCTTGTCCTCCGCTACGATCTTTTGTTGGAGTGATGCCACCTGCAAACAAAATCATGCTTTAGTTTTTTTCTTTGATAAAATTCGGTGACTTTTGATAAAGAATAAATAAGAACATACCTGTGTTTGTATAGAAGAATCCTTCCTACGCATAATCTCGTTAAACGCGCTCCATTCACCTTCGATGTTATCAACATGTAGCCATTGAGTTGGGAACTGGAATCTATAACAAAAATACATAGTATAATTTTTATTTTATTTAAATAATAAAATGTCTAACTATATTGTCTCAACCTCTGTCTTTCTAAGATACGCTGTGCCTCCTTGTAGGTGTCGACTTGTTTCTCCCAAGCTAACACTTCTCTCTTCAGCTGTTGCACATAAGTGATGAGAGAGACCGCATCGCTTGTAGAAGCCGCCTCTGTTGTAAATAATGCTTATTTTCAGTAAAACAATTATTGTAAAGATCATTAACCAGTTCTCACATAAATCTATAAATAACCATAGGTTACATCCTCTACTTGGGTTTTTAAAGAGAACGAGGAGGAGAACGAAATGTTCTAATATAAGTGTTTCAGTGGAAACTCTGACTAATGCTGTACAAAATACATATTAGTGCATTTGAATTTTAAACTCGCTAATTATAATAGTTTTGTTAGATTAAACACCAAATTCCCAATATGTCCCCTACCAATGGTCTGCTGTTCGAGCTGTCCGCGCGACTTAGCGAGACGCGCGTGGAACTGCACCATCTCCCCGCCGAGCAGCGCGCCGAACTTGCCGAGCACCTCCTTGTGCCAGGCGTCGTACTTCAGCGCCACCTTGCTCTGCACGCGCGCGAAGTCGATAACCACCGGCCCGTACTCGCGCCGCGTGTCCGACGTGTCGAACGTCGTGCGAGACTTCCTAGTAGGGGACAAAGGTCACTTTCATTTTTGTTTAGTTACGTATTTTTATAATTTTTTTTTATTTCCATAGAAATATTTTCAAAGATAAAAATACAATAGTAAACATTACTTACAAAAGAAATATTTCAAAATTAATTATTTTACTAACTTAATATCATTGAGGCACTTGATCCAAAGAGTGATATCTTCTCCGAGGCGACCATACAAAGTTTCCGGCTGCAAATCCCATAGTGCTTGATAACTGTAATTAATAAAGTAATTAATAGTTTATACTTTGCTTGCCACTACTATTACATATAACATGCAAGACAAATCAATAACACAGAATATATTCATTAAAAAAATATTAAATCGTACCGTAGCCATTCATCGACGTATTCTCTAACTTGCGATATCTTTTGCTCGATAGCGTCGTACGCGTTCTCCAATGGCGAGGAGCCGCCCGGCAACTTTGTCAGCAAGTTTCTGTACGTCACTGTCTGCGTGCGCGCCACGCCCACCTGATATCTGTAATATTACGGAAAGTATTAAAAAAAACATAGTAAAGAAATACAATACGTTAGTATAAAAGCAGTGGGAAAACCTATAGTCTTAGGTAAGGAAATATACAAATTATAGCATAACTTTATAAATTAATAATTTTAATTTAATTAGTATGTTATTCAATTTTTCATACATAGTTACTGTAAGCTGTCATTTCTATATGTTGACCATACCTGGTGCTCTGCAGCCGGTGTAGGCTGGTAACGATGGCCTGCCAGGCGAACATCTGCCGCATCAGCTGGAAGCGCGCCTCCTCCAGCGACGGGAATAAGTACATCTGCTGGTTGGTGATACGCACCTCGTGCACCACGCGAGCAATCTACACAAAACATTTGTCATTATAAGTAACCCCTAATGAACTATTTAATAAGAATACACTAGTGTCTAACAATTTATAATTAAAAGTAAGATAATGTACTATTAATACAAAATATTTCTATAAGAGAAATAGAAAAATAAATTTATTTAAAAAATATAACAATCTATCCATACATTATAATCTATACAATTACCTGTGGTTCTCCACCAGGCTTGTGTGTCGGCTCCGCGGGCGAGTAAGTATCCATAGACAAATCCAGTTCATTAGCCTTGCCTAACAAAGCCGCAGTCCACGCATCGATTCCTGCTTGAAGACGAGCCGCCAATTTCTTCTCAACCTAAATAAAAAATCGTCATTAATATTCGTTCAAGCTATGTTTAAACAACATGATTGTTTAAATTTTTTTTGTAAAAAGGGTCGAAAGATGATTATGAGTTGCTTTAAACACTGATAGCATAAAGAGTATTGCTTTAAAAAAATACATATGAAAATATAATATTTCCAGTATAATAAAGTTTTGCTCATACTCAAAAGGACAGTAATAGAACTGTAGCAACGTAATTAAATTAAACCCCAAGGCCTCTGCCTCTCGCTGGAATGGCGCGCTATTTCAGTACTCTAAATGACAATGACAGCTGTCAGATAAGGACGGGACGTCTATGCCGATGGTCTAGTGTTGTCCTATTCGTAACAATACATACCTCTTCATCGAGGCGCTGCACCCAGAGATGCAGGTTGCTGTACTGGCGCAGCGAGAGGTCGTCGATGGCCCGCTGCAGCCGGCTGAGGATGTCGGCGAGGCTCTGCGCGGAGTACGGGCACGTCTCCAGCGACCGCGTGTCCACTGATATCTGCTCCTCCACCGCCAGCAGATCTTCCACCTGGTCACATTAAAAAAAAAACAGAAATTAATAGAGAACCTCAATCTTTTTATCCAACACTAGCTGCCCCCTTGCGGCTTCATTCGCAAGAAATTCAAAAAACTTTGTTTTATAAATTTCAAGTGCAAATGCCAAAATTTAAATACACAAATGACAACGGAGGTTGTTGACACTGACTAACTATACCAGTTATCAAAGCAATCTTGCTTCTTTGATTCTATTGGATTGTAGTTTATGTCCCTTCCCGCATAGAAATTTTTCTACTTCATGTACCCCTAAGTTTAATGTCGTGAAAATAAGGCACTTCGTAAATATAGGGCATTTTATTAAAAAAATATATACTGTGATTGCTGGTATCCTACATAACTAGGTAGTGTTTGTTTTCACTTGATTATGTAAGTGTAGATATCCATCTTTTTTAGAGAGATGAAAGGAATTTTTTAAATTACCTTCTCTTGGAACAAGAGAACGACTTCGCTCAGCTTCTGAACGTAGGGGTCAAGTTTGAAGGACTCCCACACCAGCGCCATGCCCTCCGACACTTGGTTCAGTACGTCGCGCCGCAGACCCGCCACTAGAGGTATTATTGACGCCTTATCTCGTATCTGCAAACACAAAGACATAAGAAAACGATAAAATATTAAAAAAGAAATTCATACAAAAACATGAAACCATCTACTATCTATTGACATATTAAAGTAATAAAAAAACTGCTATAGTATTTTAAATAATTTTATCTACGTGTGTAGTACATAAATAAAAAGCTACAAAACATACAAAACATAAATTTTATCCCCCAATAACACAATATAAAATACCATATCATCATTGCAATTTAATTTGATTAGTTATCTTGTGTTATAGAAGAATAAAGGGGTGAAAAACATTTTTTTACATATATTAATAAGCCATAAAATAAAATATCGTTAGAAGCATGCAGTGTAAAATCACTACCTTTGTATAAGTCCTATTATTCAGCTGCGTGAATACAAATGCAAGTGTTAGTAAAACCTTTGTCCTGTATTCAATATACAACAGTGAAATGGTAGTATTTAGGCGCAAATTGTGCCAATACTTATCTATGCTTAAATATTGCGTAATAGATTTTATATACGTACCTTTTCTAGAGTGCGCTCGTAAGTACGCACACTTTCTATGAGAGATATCGCGTATGGATAAAGTTGATTCGCTTGATGCGCCTTGTTCACTATCGCCAATGGAACTCTGACAAAAAGTAATTATAAGTAAGTTAAAAGGTCTTATATAGAAAATATGTATTCGTTGTTTATTAAAAAATATATATTTAAAGGGATATACCTGAATCCAAGATTCTTCAAATTCCGTACTTCTTTGTATAAAGTAATAATTTCAGGTAAAAAGTTAACTTTAAGCTTCAAGATCGTCCCTGTTTTGCTGGACCGAGCGCGCACTGATTCTATGGCGAAAATTCTCCCAGACACTCCGAGATTTCGTTGCTGCACCTATATACGAAAAACATTATAATATCATCAACCCTATGAAGAGTACAAAATGTCAGAGATTGAAAAAAACTTCGTAATATACCTTTCGTGCCCAATCATCAAAAACTTCTTGGGTGTCTAATTTCAAACGAAAACTGTCACCATCTGCTTTCAATTTTTGTCCCTCAATGTGATTTTCCCAGCCCTTGCCTATAAGAAAAAAATAAATAAATAAATAACACTAGGAAATACTACTAATATAAAGAAAATTACGTTTTAATAAAAAAAAAAACTAAGAATAGCTGCAAAAAATTTTATAATGTACTAGCTGTTGCTCGGGACTTCGTCCACGTGTAATTAAAAAATATATCATATGTTACTCGAGGATAGTAGCTTTTTTATTAAAAATTAAAAAAATCACTATTGTGAAAGAATTTTTGAAACTGATCAAGCAGTTTTTGAGTTATTTCAATAAATACAAAACTTTCTTTTTTATAATATTAGTATAGATTAAATAATTTAAAATGTACCAAGAACATCTTCGACTCTCTTGAGATATGCAGTGAGCTGGTGGTCTATCTGCTTGGCCCAGATGATGGAGCCGGCTACGGGCGGCAGGTCGCGCACCAGGGAGAGACGACTGCATTTCGATTGAGGGTATTGCACCTAACAAAAATAAATCAAGTTATTATTAACTAAATAGTTGTTGCCATACATCCAAACCCTGAAATATCTATAACTACAATTGCCAGGTTTAAAAATAACAATTACTCTCAAAAACTTCCTCTGCCTTCCTTTTCTTCTAGTGGTAATATTACAATATCATCCCAACTTGTATACAAGCTCGCAATTTTGTACGAAGCGCATTGCTCAAAAATTTTATGGTATTTGATGTGTGTATTTATGTACTATTTCATTGTCAGTATTTATTTTATTAATATCATATAATATATTGGAAACTATTTTTGTATTATGTATATTTTTATATATTATCACATTAAATCCAATCTGTAAAGATGCTATATCGTCATTAATAAAAAAAAATTAAGCATAAATGTGTATACATAATTTTGCATCTTACAGTAGTACAATAAAGTTTGAATAGTATAATACCTTGAACTTCTCATGTAGAGTCTCGATGTCGTCTTTGACGCGCTGTATGAGCTGCGTCTGGTACTCGCGGATGGCGCCGCGGATGTGCGGCCGCACGAACAGCGCGTTGAACCGCGAGAAGATGCGGAACATCTCATTGGCGTTCTTCGCCGTGCCCAGCTGGTCGCGCAAGTGCGCCGTGATGCGGGTCTCCACGCGGTCTGATATACAGTAAATAATAAATAAAAATCTATACTATTATAATAAAGCGTAAATACACACTTGTCAGCAATTACAACACATTTTTTAATAAAAAGCCCTACACTTACGTCACGCTTTCGGCTATATATTTTCACGCAATTGAACTTAGAGGGTAAATATTTTGGATAAAAATCCTAATGTGGGAAAGGGACCATAAGTTGCTGCCAACATCAAGGAAGGAAGATTGCCAAGGTTTGTCATGTCATGTAATTTTGACATTTGCTATTGATAATTTGATAAATGTAAACAATAATTTTTTTTCTTCATAATTTTATGCGGTTGAAACCACACTGAAACAGCTAGTAATAAATAATAATAAATAAGTAGCAGAGGGGAACCTAGTGCCAAGGCTCTCATGAATGTATATTTTCTAAAGTGAAAAAAAACTTGAGTGTACTTCTGAGACTAAGAACTCCCTTAGTTACGCAGTAAGAAAACTGCAGTCAGACGTTTCCTCACCAATTCTATCTTCATAACGACGTACAGCCGCTTCCCACGCGTCGCATCCCTCTCTCGATATATCCAAACAATCCACTTCTTTCACGTTTTCGTACGCCAAATTAACCTGTAACCATACTAATATTGTAAATGCGAAAGTTTAGATGGTTGGATGTTTGTTAGAGTTTGTAGCCTAAACGACTGAACGGATTTCGATGAAATTTGGTATACTTAGATATAGAGGAGTCTTGTTTATTTATGTCCACGCGGATGGAGTCGCGGGCGAAAGCTAATAAATCCAATAATACTCAAATGTAATTAAAAAGATATGATTTATCCAAAGTAGACTTTAGCCAATAGTATTGTTTAAATGTAATTTGACGTAAATATTCCACCTCGGCGATGGCATTAGCATCAGCGGCGTCCATGGGCAGCGAGAGCGGCTGCGTCACCTCCCCGCCGGCCTGCTCCGCGTTTACCGTCACACGGGGACGTAACACCTGCACATAAATATTACCTGTACTACTGACATTAAACCTAATTGTAATTGAACTTAGAAAGGTACGAAAAATAGGCCGAATAGTGAAAAGACATTTAAATATGTAACGATTTAAATGATTCCATTCCAATTTTAAAATTAATTAGTTTGTAGACGGCGCTTACGAAGCGACGTGTTTAAAATTCGTTTCGTCATTCGAAAGTCAATTTACCCTTACTGTGTAACATGGGACTTCCTTGGTATAGGGTTATCACATTGAATCTACACTCAAAAAGACTACAATAGGATTAAGAGAGGAAAATAATCATTTAATTAATTTTGAAAATCAGACGGCAACTTATTAGTACACTATGTTTCGAGTCGAACAAAATGTCGACCATGGAGCAGTATACTAGTGTGCAGCAGTATATGTAGCAGTGTGTACAGCACTACGTGCAGCAGTATACTAACGCGCAGCATGACGGTGCGCAGCTGCTCGTGGTGCCGGCGGAAGCGTCGCATATGCTCCATGCGCGCCTGCAGCCGCTTGTGCGACGGCGACACGCGCCACACCATCTTTATGTGCTCGTCGCGCTTCTTCTTCACTATATCTCTGTGTACAAAAACATACCTCATTATGTACAAAACATATTTACAAACATCTCTAAAATATATGCATATGCGTCTCCACTGAGAGTGCCCGATTCTACAATTAGTTGAGGGTGACTTCTAAAACATAGTATCGTTAGTGTACCTAAATTAAAATTGATTGATTTATTACGAACTAGCTGTTTCTTGCGATTTCGTCCACATGATATTAAAAAAATAATAGGTGAAAGAATTTCTAAAATCTACCCAGTAGTTTTTGAGTTTTTCATACAAACAAAAATACTAATCTTTCCTCTTTATAATATGACAGTATAGATAACAATAGGTATAAAACAATAATCCAATACTTTGAACTTTAATATGAATGTTATTGAGATTAGAACTACATAGAATATATTGATGCAATTTTTTTTTTATTGTTTTTGCGTGATTTCATTTCACTATCATTATTTTAAATTCTTTTCTTTTGTAATGTTGAAAAGGCGTTTAGGAGAATCTTACCTCAGGAGACCTTGAAGTTTTTCGAATTCATCATCCCAACAGGAAAACACTTCAAAGCACTGAGTCATTACCCTCTCAAAGTCTTCAAATGGAATATGCATCAGGCGTCTTGTACCCAGAACCTGGAAATATTGTATTCATATAGAAATGTTACACTAAATTTATTTTTATTTTAAATCTTAACACATCTATTAAATACACATAATTTTTTAAACTTAAAACTACTATTAGGAAGCTTATACAAATTGTTACAGCCAATAGACCAATGGCAGATTCAAGCTACTACCATATAATTATATATCTATAACATTATCAATTAGGCTGTTGGCACTTCTAATAGCAAAATATGGCAAACAATTCCTTACCTTTAAGAGCTGCTGCCCCAGGTCTCGTGAGATAGCTTCAACTAGTCTCAAACCTCGCTGGATGGGATATTTCGTAGATCGGATCTTACGGAGATGAGAGAATATTTGTTGCACCGCCAACCTTTAAAAAAATAAAATGTAAAGTACTTATCTGTGTTTCTAGATATGACTATGTTTTTGTACATGTTTTTGCAATGAAAACCCTTGATTATAATGACAAAAATAACAGGATTCAGATGATTAACATTTTATAACAACAATTTTGTTTACCTGATCCTCTCAAGTTCTGTAGCACTTAGTAGATCATTGATGGGAAAGTCTTTCATAAGTGGATTGTAGTCAGAGACTGTGGCCAGCGCCTGCTTTAATCCAGTATCTGTATCAAAAGACACGGTCGCATGGAAACGCTTTCCATACTTCAGTATATCCAGAGTTAAGGCAACCTAAAATCAATAAAATAATGCAAAACTTATAAAAGTTTTAATTATGTAGTGGAAATAATTCTAGTTTGTTACTATGACTACTGGATTTTGCGACATAAAAATGCTGCATTTTTATGTAATATCTATTCGTTATTGATACACATTAGTAGTATTGTTGCTAGTCGTTACTAACATATTGAGGAAAAATTAGATAAATTTACATCAATAGAAAATGTATGGATGTGATAGAGAAGATAATAAAATGTGTTTTGCATAAACATTACAGTGTCTATTAAAACGCAACATTACATTCCAACTAACCTCAATACTCTCACGTTTTTCTTGAATGCGATGTAACGCGCGTTCAAGATTGAGCCAAAACGATATTTCTTGTAAAGCTGTTCCATTTGATGGGTCACGGTCAAGTTTTGTTACCTAAAATAAAATATACACAAATAATAACTAACTTCGACGAACATGTTTTTCTTGTTTATAAGTTTAAAAAGTCTTTACTTTCTGTATCTCTTTAATCCAACGGTTGACTCCATTCTGCAGCTGGTTTAGGAATGTTGAGTCCTCCACTTTGTCACCGAAATCGGCGACCCGCGGCTTACGACCTTCGTCAGCAGCTCTGTATAATTAAAAATACTTATTATGTATTACAGCAAAATTTATAAAGAATAATAAAAATATACTTTGAAGTAGCAAATTGAAAAAAATATTTTAGGTAAAGGTTAAACAGCTATAACTTTTTGACTAGACTAACAACATTGAATTTGGTTTTATAATTTGGTGTATTAAAAATGTATTGCTTTCAAGTATGTTCAATTTATTTATGTGTATTTTAAAGATGATGACAGTGATAATATTGTTGTCATCAAAGTGTTACAACAGTGGTAACCTAGCATTATATAAAAAAATATAGTTTAGATATTATTACTTCTTACAACATCAATAAAAATCCTAATTAATAAAACCAGACTTAAATGTCATGTTGAATGTTTTATGGATTGCAACCCATAAGGAGGACATCAAAAATTTATTTATGCTCCTTACTGTATTGTTTGCTGCCACATCATTTGCATGTCTTATTATAAGATAATTATGGTAACATTCTGGTGTCTGTAAATTAGTCATATATACTATTACAGTTTTATATTACTACCATTTATCTATACAAACAAAATTTAAATATCTATATGCAATATTAGAACAAACTATATTTTTTTATAATTAATATTCTATGCAATTTGCTTTTATTTAAGAATTGGGGAATTACTTTATTTCAGATACCTTTTAATAACAGTAGCAACTAGAGGATGAACAGGTAGAGTGATTTCTGGAATATCAATATTCTGTTGCAAATGCAGCAACCCCATCTCCAGCTCTGCTATCTTTTTCTCCACTGATGGTGCCATTTTATCTCCATCCCTAAAACAAAATATATTTTATGTTGCATAACCCTATAAGTCATTACATAATTCACAAAATAAATCATATACAAACCATCCAATAAAAAGAGGTACAATAAAAAACTTAATATAAGATGTAAATATTTTTGTTGGTACAATTGATGCATCTACACAAAGTAAACTCTCGTAGCATTTTAGTTATTTTTAAATAACAAGGATGATAACATTTCTTTACCTGTCAGCTCTACCACTTTCTTTGACATAACTCTTAAAGAATGGTGCCATAGTTTTGCTGATGAAAGCATGCAAAGTCTCATATGGTGAGCCATCAGAGAGATTAATGAGACGCAACTGGCTATGTATAGATTTATCAGCTTCAATCACTGCACCACGCTTGATGCACACAAATGCCGCAACTCGTGGTGATGTGAAGTGGACCTAAAAAAAAGTTCATTAATTTGTTGTAAACATACAAATCTTATAAGATATTATTTAGTATGGTTTTTGTATATTTTACAAAAATAACTTAACTTAAGATTAAGCTTATGACTAAAATTAACTTGTTCATTACATTTTTGAAGAGTCTTATAAGATTTTAACTGGTTTATTTTACATTTTCTAATAACAATTTTTTTATAATACTGCTTATCCTCTGGCTTGAATAAGAACAATCATATACAAAAAATATCTACAATGAGAATATTACCTCATTGCTGATGTGATAATTAACAGCCTCTTTCTCTTCTTCGCCTTCTGTGGGCTGCTCACTATCATCTTCTGTTGAAAATTTGTATAATTAGTTAACACCGGCACGTTTTGTGTACATTCAAAGAAGTAACATCTAGTATTTTAAAATAGAAGTGTAATTGCAGTGGGTACACACCCATTGCACATGCATTTTTCGTCACCAACCTTTTAGCGAAAAACGCTGAACATACAATGACGACACTTGCGGATCAGAAATAAACTTTCTAATGCAATCTTGGTTGACTTTGTCATCTAGTGCAGCGTTTAGTGCTGGTGGTACGATGTCATCTTCAGGTAAAAGTACCGTTGCAGCTCTACGCAGGTAATTGGCAAAATCTTGAAACTCTACTGCAACAACGTTTTGCGCTTCCGAGGCGCTTTCACTCCCGTCTAGGGAGTCCCCCATGATAATTTTATTGTTTCTAAATCTAATAAATTAACTTAAATTCTAAATACACGAAATATATTTCAGACGATTGCCGGAACGATATTGACAACTAGATCGAGAAATTAGAAAGAAAAAAAATTGCAGTACAAAGGATGACGCATCGCCCAATGTTACCATAATAAAGACAAGAAAAATCAATATTGTGCTTGACTGACCACTCCACTGGACAGTTGCTGGACAGTGGACAGGCTGTGATATTTTGTGTCTATTTGATTTTTACCATTTTTTCTCTGATGGTCTTGGTGCTTAAGAAGGGAGAGAATTCTGTTATGGCAGTTAAGCAGCAGACTGTGCCATTTGTCCATAGAGACAAGGGCAAATTGATAATAATTCATCAATTCAACGTTTAATAATAGTTTGTTTCAGTTAAATCTCAGATAATTAGTGTTCTGATCATTTAAATTTTCCATAAAACCTATTTATTTTCGATGTTTAGTATTCCTTAACTATCTCTCTGTCTTTCCCTCTCTCTCTCTCTCTTATTAGCCTACATCTCATATGGTAGTGGGTTCAGCTTTCCTTGTCAATATCCTCCACTTCACTATAATTACGAAATCTTGATTCGAAACTTGGCACTCGTACGTTTCTTATAGCACCACATCTTTCCACCTTGTTTTGCGTCTGCCCTCTAACTCTTCAACCTGGAAGGGAAAGCTGCAGTGCCAAATAACCAACGTAGTCCAGCTGACTTCTTCTTACATGCCCATACCATCTCAGCGTAATCTCCTACATGTTGTGGGGCCTGGTTACGCCGCATATCCATCTCAGCATCTCCATTTCGGCAACTTGAACGGTATGGACGTTCTTTCGTGTGACGGCCCATGTTCATATTGGTATTCCTTAACTCAATAAGGAAACTAAGAACTGTTACTTATAGTTTTCCAAATAACTAAAACATAGTATTGGACTGTTATTTATAATTTTTAAACGCAATTTATTGGTTCTCGGACCATAAACAATGTTAGGAGTAAAGAGTGACGTCATAGACATTGCCTACCTTTTTGCTGCCTACAAATACGTCAGAGGTTTTGGCAGCCCGTGGGTGAACTATTTTCTTCATTGTTGACCTTTCCTAAATCTTAGGTGTAATTATTTCATCATTAGCAGTGTTTGGCTGTATTCTTTTTTTATCTGGTACCTAAAAATTGTGTGCTTTCGACGATGGACTCCGAAGACGATACAAAGGATGATGTGGATTCTGGTAACGAGTCTAGCGGAGACGATGTCGACTTTGTCATGGACGAGACACATAGTACAAGAGAAAGACAAACAGAGTTAGAAGAGTATCCTTATGAGGTGTTATCTACGGAGGAAATTGTTCAGCATATGGTGGATTGTATTAAAGAAGTGAATACTGTAGTTGAGGTCAGTATGTTAGTGGTAAACAATGGATTAATCGAATGAGGTTACTCGTTCACTGTAGGACAGGGCTTTGCTTTGGGACAATTAGAATTAATATTAGAAACAAGCTCTTAAAGAGGCAAATGTATAAAGTAAATAATAAATACGAAATCTAATGCAAAATGTTTATATAAGTAAAACATACAAAAATACAACAAAGGCTGAGGTGTATTTGTAACAATGGAATTATTACAAATATAGCTATTTTTTTTTCTTTTGTTACATTTTATTATAATTATTTCTTTGAAATTAGTGTTTTTATACTTTTGCATCTTACCAAATTAACAGATTTAAAACTTTTATTGTACAATGTTTACATATTAGACTAAGTTGTTATATAGCTTATTGCTTAGATGATGGAGTCATAGATACATAAGTTGCTGTCTAATTTGCTTGAAAAACTAAAATTAAGTCATTAATTCTGTTGGAGTTGTAAGAGTGACATGAAACTTTTAAAATATGCAAATATAACAATATTTAGCTATTAAAAGAAAAATGTTGAAATTAACAAGTTTACATAAAAAATTTGTGATGTGTCCAACTAGATATAAATACAATTTGGTTGATTTGCCCCAAAACACAAAGCTACTCAGACCTGGATTTGTTCATTTATTGGCAGTTAATTTAAATCTCTACTGAGAGGCTCAAGCCAACTACAAATTAGGGAAACTTAATATATATATCATAATTGTGTTTAATGACCAATTCACTGTAAAAGTGGTATAGCTCACAATAACCTCTTTTGCATACCTCCTTAATAGGTCACCTCTGAATAGGTTGGCTCCCTGTTGCAATATTATGACCACAAAGGAGTGAAATGGAAGCAATTCCAGGTCTCTGTTGAGTATACACTGCATATGTAGGAGGCCTGTAATTAAGTCCACTTTCATATACCACCCTATTCTTATAAGGAATTGATGTGGAAGAAATGGAGATGGTAGGGGAAGGAATGCATAAAAAAGGAGAAGCTTATTCTGTCCCGTCTTTCTTTGATTAAGAATAGGCCATTGCAACTGCTATTGCACTTGTCTGTGGGCAGTGGTTGCTTCCCGATTTCTGCAAATTTAAGTGGCTGCTTGCTTGTGTACCACCTTATAACATAAAAAATAAGAATATTTTTTTACATAGATACCAGCCACAACAACCAGGATACTACTAAATCATTTCAAATGGGACAAAGAGAAGTTGATGGAGCGTTTCTATGATGGCGACCAGGATCAGTTGTTCTCTGAAGCTAGAGTTATTAATCCATTTAGAAAACCGGTTATACAGAGGCCCAAGGTAAGTGTAACAAAAGCAGTATGGATAGTAGAGAGTAATAGAGAAATCAGTGAAATAGATTAATAGATTAATTTAACTTAACAGGTCATGTTGGTTATAACTTACAGTTTTACAAAGTTTAAATGAAATTTGAAGTGTAGATTTCGGCTTATATTATTAGACATGTTCATGTTAAATATTTAAATTTCATTTCAGTATTCTGCCATGATACTGGAGAAATATGTACAAACATTTGCATAATACATACTTTAGACTTTGCCACTCTTTCAATGATTACTTAATGTCTCTGAGTATGCCAGTTATTAAGCCAAGGGCACCTAAAAGTTAGATTTTTTTTTTATTTACAGCTACCCAGACGGATATCATCATCAGGCGCAGAAGAATGTGAAATATGTTTTTCGATTCTACCAACATCAGTATGTATTGTTATATTTATTTTATCTACAAAAAAAGTAATTGTTAAACTATATTTTTCACGGTACATATGTGTATATAAAATCAATAAAAACATAAACACAAATAGTACAGAGGTCAGGTATGCTTATTCATTTTTTATTTAGACTACCCCGAGTCTGTGTTCTTAAAAAAGACTTATACCTTAACCAATGTGTACAAAATGTTTTGTAAAATATTTATTAAGTATTTATGTTTTAGATGATGACAGGATTGGAATGTGGTCACAGGTTTTGTACACAGTGCTGGTGTGAATATCTGACAACCAAAATTATGGAAGAAGGATTAGTGAGTTTATCAATTTTTATTTAAAAATTATGTTTGTACTGCAACTTTTTGTTTCCTAAACATTCATAACAAATTGTATTTGCTTATTAATTATCTTAAATGATAATAGAACATAATGTGTTTTCATAACTCAGGGATAAACACTTGACCAGGGGTGGTCAACTGGTCGATCACTGCTGACATTTAAAAAGTATTAAATTGGTAGATAACAATGTTAAGTCAGTGAACAGTAGAAGGTAACCAAGTTGGCCACCCCTGTTGTATACTATTTTCTAATCCATAGAGTTGTTTAATGAATATGTGTGTTTTGTAGGGTCAAACGATAGCTTGCGCGGCGCACGCGTGCGACATATTGGTCGACGACGCGACTGTGATGCGGCTGGTCCGCGACGCGCGCGTCAAGCTCAAGTACCAACACATCATCACTAATAGTTTCGTAGAGGTATTCACACATATACTATTTACCTATCAATGTACTAGCTGCTCGCGACTTCGTCCACGTGAAATTAAAAATATTGCCTATGTTAATCAGTGATAATCTAGAAAAGGGATTTTCGGAATCGGACCAGTTTTTGAGTTATTTAAATATATACAAAAATGCAAAAATACAAATCTTTCCTCTTTATAATATTAGTATAGACAAATACAGGTTTTTATTAGTACAATAAGTAAATTGATAACTACACAGTTTATTACCAAAACAGTGCTGGTGACTTTTCAAGACGAGTCAGTAGACAAGATACTTGCTAAAATTATAAATGCCAAAATTGGTGGATGGATGTTTGTAAGGTCTCTCCGGATTGGCCTAATGAATTCTGTACAGATGTAGAACACATATTCTACTTACTTTTTTTAAATACCGCGCGAAAAGTCGCGGGCAAAAGCTAGTTTGTTATATTTTAATTTTTGTATGTGAATGTTGGCATGATAAGATATGTTTATCAGTGCAATCGGCTGCTGCGCTGGTGCCCGTCCCCGGACTGCAGCAACGCCATCAAGGTGGCGTACGTGGAGGCGGCGCCCGTCACCTGCCGCTGCGGACACACCTTCTGCTTCGCCTGCGGAGAGAACTGGCACGACCCGGTGCGCTGCTGTCTACTTAAGAAGTGGATTAAGGTAGGATTTGCTTGCTTTATTGTTTTTTTCTTTGGTATGTTAGGTGAGTTGATATTAATGCTGTCATAGGTATAGTTGGGTATCGATGGTTTTTGTTCTAATTGAATCTCGTTTGTATTCAAGTATTTCTGCTAAAAATAATTTCTTAAAATACATTGGGATCTTCACAGAGCTATATTTTCAAGTCAGGCTTTAGTTAATGTATATTTTTTGTCTTTGAAAAGATATATGAAAATGTATTTATTTGTAATGTTTGTATATGTGTGAGTATGTAATTGCAGAAGTGTGATGATGACTCAGAAACGTCAAACTGGATAGCCGCGAACACCAAAGAGTGTCCGAAGTGCAACGTGACGATAGAGAAGGACGGCGGCTGCAACCACATGGTCTGCAAGAACCAGAACTGCAAGGCGGACTTCTGCTGGGTCTGCCTCGGGCCCTGGGAGCCGCACGGTAGCAGTTGGTACAACTGTAACAGGTAATACTCGGCTACACACTACTTATAAAAATTATTATAATTGTTACTAGCAGTAACTTAAACACACATAGCTACTGCTCCCGCCAGGATGGCGCGCTACTCTAATATGTCTAATGACATTGACAGCTGTCAGATAGGGACAGGACGTCTGTGCCTATAATCTAGTGTTGCGCCAATCCTCCAGTGCATTACTAATTTTCTTCTTATTCTTAACACTACTATACAGCATTAATATATCTTCAAAAGGTACTTTGAAAAGATAAAAAAAAACAGTTGTATAATGTGTTAATTCTTAACTCTTAGGTAAGAGTAGTAACTAGCTGTTACCGTGCGGGTTCATGTCCCTGATATAATAAAAACTTTGTTATTGTTGCAATTCCATCAAACTCATTTGCAAATGTTAAAATTAAAAACTCAACATATTCGAGGCCTAACTTGAGTCCCCTTTCCTTTCCATTTTCTTATAAGGAAAAGATGGGAAGGGGAAGTAGATTTGTCAGAGGAGAGGACGCAGAAGAAGGATTAATATCTTTTTTCTGTGCATTCCCAACTCCGTCAATTAGAGGTAGACAACATATATGCAATTGCGGATATCAATGAGCGGTCGATTCGCTATTTCGGCGAATTCGTTTGCCACATTATATTACATATTAGGATAATACGGCGAGTGTTATATTGGTGGGCAGGGTATATACGTTTGATGTTTGTCAGATACGACGAGGACGAGGCGAAGGCGGCGCGCGACGCGCAGGAGCGGTCCCGCGCCGCGCTGCAGCGCTACCTCTTCTACTGCAACCGGTATATGAACCACATGCAGTCGCTGCGCTTCGAGTCCAAGCTGTACGCCTCTGTCAAGGAGAAGATGGAGGAGATGCAGCAACACAACATGAGCTGGATAGAAGTAACCACTACCTTACTTTACCTATAGTACTTATTATTAGATAGGGGTGTAAATGAAAGGACGGTATGAATGCGACTGATTTATTTAATGAATAATGTAAAATGAAATTATAGAATAATAATAAATATAGTCTATGTTACTCAATGATAACATAACTTTTTAATGGTGAGAGAATTTTTGAATTCGGACCAGTAGTTTTTGAGTTATTTCAATACATACAAAAACAAAAATCTTTCCTCTTTATAGTATTAAGTATACATTAAGTATGATTTTTGATATATCACTTACATAATTTGTTTTTAAAATCAATCATTCGTGATGTCACATCAATGGATGTAATAAGTGAAAATGTGTTTATTATTTACTAGCTGTTGCTCGCGACTTCGCCTGCATGAAATTAAGAAAATAATAAAAAAAAATCAGCCTATGTTACTTACATTTAAATTACCTTTCTAATTGTGAAATAATTTTTTAATTCAGTCAAATGGTTTTTGAGTTATTTCAATACATAAAAATCCAAAAATACAAATCTCCAAATCCAAAAATAAAAAACCCAAAAATACAAATCTTTCCTCTTTTAATATTAGTACAGATTACTACATCATTATGGATTTTTTAAAGTGGAGTATGTTAATACAATCTGTTGGTAACATTAAATTATTTAAACTTTCATAAGACATTTTATTATTAATTATTTTACGGCTATTACTCACATCTACTTTTTCCTGTAGGCGTGAGTAATAGCCGTAAAATAATTATTTGTTGATAACATATTGCATAAAACCATCCTCAGGTGCAGTTCCTGAAGAAGGCGGTGGACATCCTGTGTCAGTGCCGGCAGACGCTAATGTACACGTACGTGTTCGCGTACTACCTGCGCAAGAACAACCAGTCCGTCATCTTCGAGGACAACCAGCGCGACCTCGAGTCCGCCACCGAGACGCTCTCCGAGTACCTCGAGCGCGACATCACCAGCGAGAACCTCGCCTACATCAAGCAGAAGGTGCAGGACAAATACAGGTTCGTTCCACTTTACCGACTAGCTTTTGCCCGCGACTCCTTCCGCGTCAATTTAAAAATAATAGAGAAATGAAAATATATAGCCTATGTTGATCACAGATAAATTATCTTTCTAAGGGTAAAAGATTTTTTTAAATCGACCCAGTACTTTTTGAGTATATTCATTACAATCAAATAAAGTTTTCCTCTTTAAAATATTACTATATACTAGTTTTTGACCGCGACTATGTCTGTGGAATTAAAAAAAAGAGTATCCTACGTGTTCTTCCAGGCTATCAATATATGCTATTTCAACGAATTCGCTTGGTCACTTATTTGTCATATTGTGATATCAAAAAATACAGTTAGTCCAAAATGGTGTGAATTTTCAGATATTGCGACAGTCGGCGTAAGGTTCTTCTGGAGCACGTGTATGAAGGCTACGAGAAGGACTGCTGGGACTACACAGAGTAAACTCTCTATACATCAGTAGTCGTAAATTAGTGTCACGTAAAATAAATAGTTATAAACTAGTTCATTACATAAATCTATTTCAGCTTCAATGATTGTCGACTTCGGACGTGTACACGTGTATGGCATCTAGCATATACTGCGTTCAATCTTATATAGTCATGCGAATATTTAAAAAATTACGAATATATCAAAACTTGTCATTTCCATTTTTAGATGTTGGTTTTGGGTTAATTCGGTATACATCAAATGTTATTGTACTCTACAAGTTTCGATGACGTCATCGTAATCAGGTACCATGTTGTGCGCGAGTAATGCCGGGAAAGATTGAGGCAAATTTTCGTTTGGTTGCGGATAAATTATTATTTTTTTAATACAAAGTCTATAAATAAAACCTTACTGCAAGTAAAGGCGTTATTATACTAGCAGATTATAAAATAAAAAGATTAAAACCTGAAACATCTATATTTTTTCAATATTTATATTTCTTTTTTACTATTTACATAATTATATGTTTACGTATTAAATAAAAAAAAATCATAATGTGATTTTTCATACGGCACTGATTCTGTTATTACCTACCAAAAATATTTAAAAATTGATTGTATTAGATTAAAATCCATCGCTCAGACATTTAGAGCCGCCATACACGGCTTCCTTCAAGGGGTTGTGCGATTAGGTTTTTCAGCGTATATTGTCCGTATATTGCGTACGTAAACTGCTGACGCCGGTTACTTGAAATAGTCCGTGTATGGCGATCTCATGAGAAATGCAAAGAACATAATCGTTGCGAAATACAATAAATAAATTTAATTAAATAACTTGAGATGGCAGAGAATGGCCTAGCTTACCTAATTTGTTTTCTCTACACACGGTTGTTTTTTAATTACCAGAAAGTGTCATGTTTCTACGGAGGGTAGATATGGTAAGTGCTGCTCTTCCATACATCTCTAACAGCAGTCATATCTGAATCGACTGCCTTCTTAAGCATGTCCTCTTTCAAACAATCCATCCATATTTTCTTTGGTCAACCTCCACCTTTGATAATGATCATATTTAAGAAATAAAAAGTATTTTTATATATATGCAAATTATGGAAAAATTATCCTAAAAAAAAAATTGTTGGTCGATTGCAATTAATATATTGCTTGTTACAGTTTCAATGACATTTATTGACTCCCTGCACATTCCCTTCATCACACATTGGCTTTGGTCTCCACATTTTCATTAAAAAATATTTTATTTTGTAAATTGGCTTCTTCGTGGTAATAAAAAAATAACTGTTTAAATGATACATATATATTTTAACGAGCTGTTTTAAAATGATTTTAACAAAAATGCTCGGAATTTACTTTGCTGAATTTCGTCGTTCCAAATTTGAGTAAAAATCCCATAAAGAGACTCGATGTTAAAACAAACTTTAAAGATGTTATTTTTGTATTATAATTTCTATGTTTGAAAGAAAATTATCATTTAATCATAATTGTAATGTGTTTATATATTTTTACATGTAATATTATTTTGATATGTAGACATAATTATTGTGTGCATTCATTTAACAGAGCATTATAAGTAGATTTACCGACGCAATGTTTTATAATTTCATCTGTTTGTTTTAATATGACATTTTATGTTTCTGTATTTTGATTAAAACTTTCACTTTTATTTATGCAGTGACAGTATTTCATATATAGATATTTTTCAGGAATATCAACAAAACTTTTAATTGGCAACACCAACTTTGATAAAACAGAATACATAAAAATGAACATTGAATTATATTTTGCTATAATAACAAGCAGATTTATTTCAATTATCTAATTAATTATTAGTGTTAAATAAAATGTCATATTAAAATAAACGTACTATTTCATTATTTTTATCGCGGTTTGTAAATTCATTGTTTTTACTCTGTCTTGGTAACATTGTGACTATAGTTTAGTAGAGAATTAGAATAATCTGATCATGGTCTATATGTATCTTACAAACAGTTTCCATTGCCGATACTTTTGCAGAAACACATGGTCTCTCATTCTCTATGGATAAATGGATTTTTTTTTTGTTTATGGACAACTGGAGTTAGTTTATTACACAATCGTTTTCATTATAATGTAATATATTTGTTTAAGTTATGCTTCGCGTGGCTTGGCTTGTTCATTTCACTTAAACTGATACTCGGAATAGACAT